TGCTCCAGCGCTTTTCGACACTTCTCTGGACTGAAATACAAGGGTAGGGCTGTCGTCCAGTGCCAGTGTGGAGCAACCAGGGTAGTATTGAAGACACAATGTTGCTCCCTTAAGCTAGGGTGACAGTCGTCTTCTCTGGCCTGCGATCCTCCTGTTATGGCGCAATGGAAGTCTAGGGTATTATTTAGTTTCCATAGCAAGGTCAAAATCATATCCGGCAAAAAAGAAACACAAGAATAAACAACATAACTATTCAATAGTTTGTTTTATGTTCATTAATTATACATTGATATATAATATAGAAAAATAAAATCCTGTTCCTATACTATGCATCCTGTCCTATTTAGAATATAAAGAGACAAAATACTTAGCCGAGAGTGATCACAGGCAGAGACGTGCAAAACCCGAGCTTTACAACATGGCGGAGTGGCGGTGCGGTCGGAGTCAGCCAAGGAGTGAGCTCGAGTCAGCCACCGAAACACAGGTCGGGTCGAATTCCGAGACATTTGTATTACGTGATTCACGTATTATGCCTGGTCACCTAAACACTTTCAATTAATTAAATTATTAAATATTGATGTATTCAAAATGAAAATGTAACTAACGAAATAATAACTAAATCTAAATAAACGTCACAATGCAATTAATTTACTATACTAATCAATTCACCCATAACACCTCAGACAACCTCAGGTTAGGTCAGCTGTTTCGAAAGCCTAGTGTAAGCTCTGTGTTAAAAATGTTTCTTACACCTCCAGACCTATGATGGCCTGGATAGCTGACTATTTCAACAACAGAACAGCAAATGTGAGATTTCAAGGTCACATATCTCAGCACATGCCACTCGAAAATGGAACACCTCAGGGTGGGGTCCTTAGTCCTGCTCTTTGCAATACCCTCATGTCCAGCATACTCAAAATTCACCTGCCAGAGGAATATAAGATCATCTATTATAGCCCAGAGGATTATTAATCAGGGTAGAATAATAATCATAAACTGGGTCCCAAGCCACATAGGTATCCAAAATAATGAGCTTGCTGCCACACTAGCCGAAAATGGCAGCGACATGCCCTCAAATCCCATGATCGTCAACCCAAGCCAAAGAAGACTGAGCCAAAGTCCCAAAGCTACAGCACTTGAAGTTCACCGGAGCATGCGCAGAGAAAATACCACAAACACGCTCTCAGCCAGATGGTACTCAGACACCATGGGGTATGAGCCACTGGCCCTTTCTCCAAAATAAAAAGAGGTACGAAAGTCATGCTGCACAGATTAAGATAAGGTTACCCATCCACTTGGAAATTCTCGATGACGTGGTTGTCAGGAAATTGTGCACTGCGGCGAGCCGGACGCCACCCTGTCACATTACTTACATAATTGTGAACACACGCAATTTTGAGACAGGGAACGAACCAACCGCCGAACTGGTAAAAAGGGTATGCCACATGCTTACACCGTGGCAGCTGCTTCGCTTGCTTGCAATCCAGCTTCCGCGTTAAGCATACAGTTAAAAGAAAACACAAGCGTCAACTAGAAATAGCTGACTCAGGCCGGGCCATTCTAGAGAAAAGGCACGGGGGGAAGCTAGACTTCGCAAATCTAACTGAACTGAACTCTAGACCTATGACTCTAAGGGTCTGTTAGGAAAACAGATTCTGTCGACACATGCTTACTTCAGAGACGTCGAAGACATACATAGTTTAACATATCTTTATAGTTCATGACTCTAATATGTCAGACCAGTAAGTCAACATACAGACTGAGCTTGAAGTCGGGTATCCTCACGGCAAAGATATATGAAGATCCCATCATATTCAGGGACAAAACGACGTGTCTCAGCAATGACAATACCGGTTTTCTTGTTGCCAACGAAACCTTGGGTCTTTATTTGTCTTGTGGTGTCAGCTTAACGTCTTTTGCATCAAGTGTGTGGATCATGGGGTACACATGATATAAAGTATTTTTATGTTATATCCATAAGGTGTATAAACTAAAATTATGACTTGTTTAAAACTCATTTCCCTATCTGAAGATTTTCTCGATAAAAATAATTATAAACTGTTCTTTTTAGAATAATTCTTAAGATAAAGTGCAATGTAGAATATTACCACAGAAGACGCAAACAAAGGAAATAAAAAATTGCATTCTCAGGCTGCTGACCTTGAGGATTATAGAAATCGTTTGCGCAGTGACAATAATAAATACGAAAATGATAATTTATTATTTTGATAATAATGATAATCATCATAATAGGGATAATATTAATAATAGTAATAATGATAGTAATGATAATGATAATGATGATAAGAATAAGGATAATAACAATAATGATGTAGATAATGAAGATGGTAATGATGATGATGATGAGGATTATGATTATGTTGCTTCTGATGATTATGATAATGTAAACAATAACAGCACTACAGCAATAAAACTGGCAATAACAATATTGGTGGTAAAGGTATTGACCATACTGATAATAATGGGGAAAAGAGTAATGATAATGACAGTACTAACAATAATACTAACAAAAACAGCAACAAGAAATATAATATTAACGAACATCAGCAGAATAAAAAATGGAAACAAAAAGAAACAATGATAATAATGAACAGCAACAACAAAATAAGTATTAATAATGATCAACAACAATAAGACATGGAAACATAAAAGAAACAATGATAATGAACAGCAACAGCATTGAAAACGAAAGAGAAAAATAATCAATAACAAGAATGAAGAGAAAAACAAGATAAAAAAAAACAAGAAAGGAATGATAAAACACAACAGCATAAAAACAGCAACAAAAATATTAAAAACAAACAATAGCATAAAACTAACAAACAAAAACACACTCCCACGATAAACCCAAAAGGAAGCTAATGTTCAAGATCTTTTCAGCCACAAAAATACTCGTCCGTTAGACTCACGAAGGAGATTCTAAATTGAGAATCCTGAGGCTCTGTCGTGAAGGAAGTGTTCATGGTGGACAGGAATGTGCTTTGCGCACGTGCGCACTTACATATATACACACAGGTACATACACTTGCACACATACAAATATACACATATTTGCTCGCGCGCGCGTGCACGCATACGTACACACACACATATATATGTATATATATATATATATATATATGTATGTATATATACACAGTATATAACATACAGCATCTACCAATTTATATAGGTATATAAATGTTTTGTATCCGTGTTTTGAATACAACAAATAGCACGCATACTTGTACCTGGAATCCAGTTCTATAATTTTCCTAGTGACTCAGAAAGTCGTCTGTCTATTATGGCTACTCTGAGAATGTCGTTCAAGCAGTGCTTGAGTTGATATTCATGCAGTCTCATTGGCGTCTGTATTCTCCGACGTCACAGTTCTATGAGTCACAGTTCTATGACGTCACATCTTTGACGTCACAAGGTTGATTTTGCGATATTTCCGCATTTAGTTATCCGCTCGTCCTCGCAGCGAAAACGGTACATTAAATGTTTTTTTCTTCTTGTAATGTGATTGCAAGCACACTAAGATATTATTGGGTCGAATTGCTTGTCTGAATCGACAAGGACAGTAACAAATATGTCTGTAAAAAAACCACGAAGATTCATTAATGATTGCGTGGTTCTCTTACCTTCATGTATAACACGACGCGTTTTGCTATATTCGAGTAATTTCTTCTCTACCTGAAAAAGTTTGGTACATTCTTTAGCAGCACATTTACACATCGCACAAGACAGAACAACACACACACTACACAACATAAAAAATGTACCCGACTACCAGCGGCGCACAGCATCATATAGAAGATCGGGCACACACAGCACTGCGTCGAGGTTCGATACGATTATGAGAGCGGAAGTTAGGAATGTCTTGGGATAGTTAGAAAGGGCGGGTTCCGGAGTAATAGGGATTCAGACATGTCGTATGTATACAACATGTTCTACTCGATGAGGTGTTTGGCAACACACAACACACAGCATAGGCGGTACTTTGATTACTATGTCTTGACACTTTACATTTCTCACATAAACCCCGAGGGGAGCAATAACACCCGCACGTATCATGATACGCAGCCACACACAAGACACAAACACACCACTCAGTCTGAAAATACATCAAACACCGCACGTCACACACACACACACACAACAATTAGATTAATTATCTGTATGTGACCTTATATCATACACCACTAACTCAAGCAACAGAATACAAAACACGGTAAACACCCGCCACGCACATAAATACATGCACCCTGGCATGTCTGCGACAGACAGCAAACACACACGCACGCACCCACAGACACANCAGATTATTACTGACAGTCAGATAATTTAAACCCTTGCAAAATTCGTTCTGAAAAGGAGACATTTTTCTTTCTGTATACAGCGACTAACGATGCATTTCTTGTTTCATTCACTTTGCACTCAAGCTGATGGTGTTGCTGAGGACTCTCCCATTGGCCCTGGCTCTGCGAATGCTTTCTCACTTCAACATGAAATGACCTTATCACAGCACAACAGACAGTTTATCACAGTTCTTGTGGCAATTATAAATCAATCATAGCATTGACACTTGGTATTAGATGAAAATCTCTGGCCCATAGAGATCATAATGCCTTATCTGAAAACAGTGATGTTTGCAAGATGCTTTGTCTGCAAACTCAGCCTCGAAGGTACACAAACGTTCTCGTTTTTTTTTTTTTATTATTATTATAATTATTTGTATTAAGAAAGTATTCATAACCGTGAAAAAATATTTGGTTATTTTTTTCGAGGACTTATTTCGTGAGGCAGGTATTGAAGAAAAGTCACGTATCTTGCAGTGACCTTGAAAATTATTTGTCCTTAGTGTGCAGGACGAGGCGCAAGTCGTGGCTTTTGTGGGGTAGCTGATGAAGCAATAAAAGTGTGAGGCATAGGGGCCAGGCCGTCACAGCTCTAAGGACCGTTGAGTGGCGTGGGTGTCCAAGAAAGTGTTGGAGATCGACTAGAAACAGTTGTCAAGAGAGCCACAAGGAAGCATGAGAAGCGTGTGGTGCTGGTTGCTGGTGGTGCTGGTGTTGGCGATGGGGCGGCGACTGCAGGAGCCAAAATCCCTTTGGTCCAAGGAGTATCATCAACACCCCCTGCGTAGGACGCTGCATGATAATGACTTCTAAAGGGTGCGAACGCGATGCAAATTGCCTGTTTGGGTGATTGAGCACCCTGGCAGTGTATTCGGTGTCACAATTGTTATATCAACAATAAAAGTAATACTGATACCGATATTTGTTTTTGATTGGTGATATTGATAAATAAAATTGATAAAATAACAATGATGGTGATGGTGATGATAATGATGGTGATGACGATGATGATGATAATGAGAGTAATGATAATGATATAATGATAAAGGATGACAATAAGAATGATAATATATTAGCTATGATAATAATGGCATTGATAAATAATGGTAATAATAACTATAATAATGCAGACATGTGTATATATACACATATGTATATGTTCACATATATACACATTTATATATATATATATTATATATATTATATACATCCACATACACACATAAATATGTATATATTTACACACACAGACATATATGAATATGTATGATAAAATAAATATATATATATTCATATACATCTTTTCACTGATTTATGATAATACAGACAAGTCCTTGCCTTTGTCCTGTACAGAGAGAGAGAAAGAGACAGAGATGATTGAAAAAGGATGTGAGAACAACGTGCCATAATGCTTTGTTGGGTTATTTATTCAGTTATTTTAATGGCCCGTGGATACAGGAACGGAATTAGTCGTAGGTGACAGTTCCGGTGGTATCATTGAATAGTTAGAGAATGAAATTAGTTATTAGAGTGAAGTGTAAGAGAGGGAAATTGTAAAGAATAAAGGAAGGGAAATGACTGGCTTAGGCCTTAGAAAAATCATGGAAATAACACTGATAGACTGGGTGTGAGGGTTCGATTCCGTCCCATGTATATTTTTATTTTGTTTTTCTTTTTTCCACACTAAAGTACTTGAGGCTTGGTGTAGAGCAGCAGATTTCAGGGGCACCTGTGAAGGTCTGCTGCTTGCCCCCTTGGAAATAATTCAGGAATGAAATACTGAGAAGAATGTAGAAAGGTATGAATGAAATGAATATATTCAAAATTTTATTTGTCAACATGAATGATTTCACTGAGAAGAATGCAACATAAGCGTAGCTGCAGTTACTCCGGACAAACGTACACCAACTACTATTGAATTGCAAACCCAAAAATAAGGAAAGGGGACTCAAGCAATCATGAAACGAAATGACCAAGTATATGAACAATAGTGAAGAACAATTCTTCCCATTTTCGGCAGAGGAGTGACACATTTAACAACAGCCAAGCAGAAAGAAGCCTCAAGGTCATTTGGGTAATGTGGTCCACGGGTGTGCAATAGTTCAGTTCAGGAAATTTTTAAACTCTCAGTCGAACAAGGTCGACACCGAGTCAGACGAATGAATCTGGGTCTCGATCTGAGACTTGCTTAGTTTCGGACAAAGCCCGGTCCTGTTAATTGGGACCGAGTCCTGGAGTTAGAGTTGTGGGAAAACCTCCCACAACTCGACCACGAAGCAATACTATTTTTCCACCAACAGTGCTTGATAATTTTTTTTTATTATTTTTTTGTTTGGAAAGACAAACTTAATAAAGATCTACCTTTTTTGACCGGCCGCTTTCTCTCTGGTCTCTCTTTCTCTCTGTCTCTCTTTCTCTTTATCCTTCTTTCTACCTACAGCCAATGCTTTGTCAAAGACACACTCCCCTTTAATGCAGCCAGGGTGTGCCACTTACACACTTAGGAGTTTCCTAATTTCTTGATCCATTTCAATTTTAGTCAAATATCTCTCAGTACCATCGATCGCGGTCATTTCAGATCAGCTTAAAATTATGTGACTGGCTAGAAACACAAAAACATGAGAGAAATAATGGGAGAAGAAGCATGCAATTTGCCACCTTGTCTCATAAATCATAATGCATCCCTTTCTCTCTCTGTTCTCACCATTTTTCCAATTATCTCTATATCAGCCCATTGTTACATCTCACCCAACTCGCTACCACTCACTATGTTGACGAGGAGCCATACACACAAAACCATGCAGGTTGACAAGTGGTCTGTGCATTTACCAATCCACCGAGAGAGAGAGAGAGAGAGAGAGAGAGAGAGAGAGAGAGAGAGAGAGAGAGAGAGAGAGAGAGAGAGAGAGAGAGAGAGAGAGAGAGAGAGACATACATACATCAGTCAGCGAGGAAGGAAGAGAAAGAGAGACAGGAGGAACTTGTGATGACTTCATTGGATTCAATACTCTCATGGTCATAGGGCCAAGACTGCAGACGAACAACAGGTTGGTGTTTTAGCTGAAAGGGGGTTTGCTAAAGGAGAAGGATGTGAAAAATGAATATATTTTTTGGTAAAATTTTTCCTTAATTAAACCATTGCATGCCCCCTGGACCACATTACCCTTACACACATGATGGGTCCCCAGGCAAACTAAACAATATCATTGCTTTTGGTAAAAATTATCAATCATTTTGTTATTCTCTCTTTATATATAATCATAAGAATATACAAGTTATTTACACTTGTCATGTCACATATACATGCAAGTGAAAGTATAACAGTATGTACCTAGTAGTTGTATAGCGGCATGAACACGGATTTTCGTTAACTTATTTTTCTGTATCACTCATTACAGAAGAGCTACACCCATGAAAGTTGGGTTAAGGTTACAAGTGCCCGAGACTTTCCTGGTTCAAGAGTTTCATCTTCCTAGCCCTTTGTAGACTATGTATTTTGAGCATTTAAAACATAAAAATTAAAATTTTGGTGTTGCCAAACTGCTCAGAAATCGCCGACCCCAAGAAAAAACAAACCTTTGTAAAAGCTTTCAAAGTGGTCGACCATCTCTCTCTCTATTTCAGTTCTCGAAATATTTTATTTCTAAATTTGTCATACCCCTATATGTATGTATGTATATATGTATATACGTCCAAAATGGTCGGGTGGGACCCCCCTTGTATCTTGGCTTGTTTTGGGCCAATTCCAATGAAATTTGCTACTCTTGAACATTGCTTTCTCACTTCAACATGAAATGAACTTATCACAGCACAACAGACAGTTTATCACAGTTCTTGTGGCAATTATAAATCAATCATAGCATTGACACTTGGTATTAGATGAAAATCTCTGGCCCATAGAGATCATAATGCCTTATCTGAAAACAGTGATGTTTGCAAGATGCTTTGTCTGCAAACTCAGCCTCGAAGGTACACAAACGTTCTCGTTGTTGTTTTTTTTTTTATTATTATAATTATTTGTATTAAGAAAGTATTCATAACCGTGAAAAAATATTTGGTTATTTTTTTCGAGGACTTATTTCGAGAGGCAGGTATTGAAGAAAAGTCACGTATCTTGCAGTGACCTTGAAAATTATTTGTCCTTAGTGTGCAGGACGAGGCGCAAGTCGTGGCTTTTGTGGGGTAGCTGATGAAGCAATAAAAGTGTGAGGCATAGGGGCCAGGCCGTCACAGCTCTAAGGACCGTTGAGTGGCGTGGGTGTCCAAGAAAGTGTTGGAGATCGACTAGAAACAGTTGTCAAGAGAGCCACAAGGAAGCATGAGAAGCGTGTGGTGCTGGTTGCTGGTGGTGCTGGTGTTGGCGATGGGGGCGGCGACGATGCCACAGGAGCCCAAAGTCCCCATCCCCTTTGGTCCAAGGAGTATCATCAACACCCCCTGCGTAGGACGCTGCATGATAATGACTTCTAAAGGGTGCGAACGCGATGCAAATTGCCTGTTTGGGTGATTGAGCACCCTGGCAGTGTATTCGGTGTCACAATTGTTATATCAACAATAAAAGTAATACTGATACCGATATTTGTTTTTGATTGGTGATATTGATAAATAAAATTGATAAAATAACAATGATGGTGATGGTGATGATAATGATGGTGATGACGATGAATGATAATGAGAGTAATGATAATGATAATAAAGATGATAATGATGACAATAAGAATGATAATAAATTTAGTAATAACTATGATAAATGGCATTGAATAATAATATAATAACTATAATAATAATGCAGACATATGTGTATATATACATGTTCACATATGTATATATGCACATCCACACACCCACCCACACACATAAATATGTATATATTTACACACACAGACATATATGAATATGTATGAATAAATAAATATATATATATTCATATACATCTTTTCACTGATTTATGATAATACAGACAAGTCCTTGCCTTTGCCCTGAACAGAGAGAGAGAAAGAGACAGAGATGATTGAAAAAGGATGTGAGAACAACGTGCCATAATGCTTTTTGTTGGTTATTTATTCAGTTATTTTAATGGCCCGTGGATACAGGAACGGAATTAGTCGTAGGTGACAGTTCCGGTGGTATCATTGAATAGTTAGAGAATGAAATTAGTTATTAGAGTGAAGTGTAAGAGAGGGAAATTGTAAAGAATAAAGGAAGGGAAATGACTGGCTTAGGCCTTAGAAAAATCATGGAAATAACACTGATAGACTGGGTGTGAGGGTTCGATTCCGTCCCATGTATATTTTTATTTTGTTTATCCTTTTACCACTCTAAAGTACTTGTGGCTTCGTGTAGAGCAGCAGTTAGTCTCCTTTCAGATTTCAGGGGCACCCTGTGAAGGTCTGCTGCTTGCCCCCTTGGAAAACAATTTAGGAATTAAACACTGAGAAGAATGTAGAAAGGTATGAAGGAGAATGAATATATTCACAATATTCATTTGTCAACATGAATATGATTCACTGAGAAGAATGTCAACATAAGCGTAGCTGCAGTTACTACGGACAAACTTGTACACCAACTACTATTGAATGGCTACCCCAAAAATAAGGAAAGGGGACACAAGCAATCATGAAACGAAATGACCGAGTATATGAACAATAGTGAAGAACAATTCTTCCCATTTCGACAGAGGAGCTGTTGTTAAAGTGGCACATTCCACTTTA